GTCGGACAGCGTGCCGGTATGGCCACGTGTGTGATGAGTCGCTTGCCCTGCACTGTGCCTGGAGGTGCCACGATCATGGTCGGAAGCAACACAATTAGAGGCTATGTTGCGATGACACTGCTCGGGTCCCACAAACAACTCACGAGTCTGCAGCATCGAAATCGAGGTCGATGAGATCGCGCACAGGGCCTGAGTGACCTCCCTCGACGCCGCTTCGGATGCTTGACCTGTAGCTATTGTGTCTCTCAATGCTGCGAGCACATCTCATTTGGTATAAGCATAAATCTGACTTGTGCTCACGTCGGCCCTGGCAAGCGACTCACCGCATGCGCTGCCTATCTTGCAATTGATCAAGCTGACCCTCTGGTAGATCGAGATGCGCATCGGCAATTCGCTTTCGAACGATTTCAATCTCGGCGTCCTCCGCAGCTATGCGCTCCTGCTCCCTCTGCGCCGCAGTCTTGTTGCTGATGGCAGCAAGTGGCTCGTCATCGCTGTCGACATCTGCAGGTTTAAGGAGCTGTGTTTGGGTCCGAAGAGTCAGCGTGGCAGCCCGAGAGACTCAGAATCGAAGCTCATCTCACCTTGTCGTAGAGCTGCAAGGATAGGATGATCTGATCGTTGGCCGAGATGAGACCTCCAAGGAATTCTTCGTCTCGAACAAGTTGCACTGCCCTCGCAGAACATGAGCAATGGACAGGTCAGACCCAGCTCCCTCGCTGAAGAAGGGGCGATGCAGCTCACCATATCTGACAATCTTCTTGCGCTCTGCCTTGACCGCAGCGAGATAATGCTTGACACGCTCATTGTCCGACACGTTTTCTTTTTCGCGATTGACGTGCTGCAGAGCATTGACGAGAGAAGTCGCAGCTTGCTGACTTGTCGCCAGCGATGACAAGATTTGAGGTTTCTCCTAGCTCGACAAAGAGGCATGAACGAATCTAAGTCAGCCTTCCTAGATTAAACGCTCATCCCTTCAGTGGTCGCCATGGTCTTGAACTTACCTTTTCGAAGTTGAAAACCACTCGAGGCTGATTTCCGCGCTGTTTGGCTTTGCGCTTGTCTTCCTCCTTCTGCAAGCGCTGGGCCGCTTTCTGATCGCTTCT